TTGTCTCCTGAAGGGGGCGCAGCGTCCATGCACGCCGCCACCTTTATGGAAACCCATAAGTAAAACATTCACGAGTAAAATACTGGTTTTGCAAAAAATGAAGCAGCGATAAAACTCAAACTGGGAGTCAGCTGCTAATTTTTTGCTCTTAAGTTTAAATAAATGATGTTAATCTTGAAGTTTCTTTTCCAATACATCTGACATCTACACACATGGCTGCAAGATGATAGCAAAGGTACTGATGTCCAAACTGTGCAGTTCATTCCATTTACTTTCTACATTCATCATCTGATTTATCACTGTGTGATGATCTATGGGAGGCCAGGTGGAGTAATGCTCATCATTTCTTTTATTTAGAACTGTAGATATATTACAGATATTGGCAAACATAAAGATGCTGAATCTCCAATCAGAGCTGTCTGCAGTGAGCAGAAACACAAAGCAGCTGTGCACATGTGCATGCCTGTGATTCCTACGTGTGCTGTTTGGTTTAACGTCCGTTCCTCTCTCCATCGTCTCCAGTGGACTGCATAGACCCCAGTTGTTCCGCCCACGGAGTGTGCATCCATGGAGAGTGCCACTGTCAGCCGGGCTGGGGCGGCGCCAGCTGTGAGATTGCCAAGGCGATGTGTCCAGACCAGTGTTCAGGACACGGCACCTACAATGCAGAGACCAGCACGTGCGCCTGCGACCAGAACTGGACCGGGCCGGACTGCTCCTTAGGTTCGTTTTTTCTGCCTTTCTGTTTGGTTCCTGTCTGATTTTTTTTTACTGAATCTGTAGAAAGAATAAGCTGTATTTTCATGACATTTGTTAAAACAGCATCTCGTAATATTTTCCATAATTAATAAAGTGTTGTAGAGAGAGGATAAAGAAGAGCAGGATCAGCATAAAATAAAAACAAAAAAGCAATTAAAGAAAGAACATAATTAAGATAGCAGTGTTAGTGATGCAACCCTGCAGGAACAAACAGAGGAGATGGGATACGGAGCTTGTAGAACAACTAACAAGACATCAGGTGAATGAAACAGTCTATTATGCAAAACGTGTACCTGTAAACACAATTCTGATTTAAGAGGTGATTAAAGATGCTTTAGCTGGGCTTAGCTTCACAGTGTAGTGTACTCCTGTGTACAATGATGGCAAAAACATGTCCACATTTCCAAGTTATCCAAGAGTTTGAAACAGCCAGGAGAGTGGTGCTGACGGATCTCAAACTTGTGAGGATGCGCCGGGTCAGTGACACAGCTAGGAGCTAAACCGCATCAAGACTTTAGTGATAGCAGTAACCTCTCCGAATCAATTCCTAAACTAACCGGCGGCCAACGGAGAAACGCTCAAACAGGAGTGTTACGGTCTGGAGATGACTTGGAGTGTGCTGGAGAGCCTGCAGCTGTGGTTGGTAGGAGCTGCAAACAGACGAGCGGGCTCCTGGCGGGCCGAGGAGTCGGAGAGCAGCAGCATGGACGGCGTGAAAAAATAGCACAGAAGTTTCATGTTCGGCAGATAAAAAAGAAAACAACAGCTTCATCACTGAACAAGTTTAAAAGGGATTTTGTTCTTAAAGAGTGTCTGACAGCATCATAAACGTTTGGCTCCTGTGAATAAAACCAGCTGCTAACAAATAGACTTTACATGAAATATTAAAAAAAGAAAATCAAAACAGGAGAAAGCCCAATAATTTTTCACTTCAGCGTGGCAGGATGTTGACTGGAGGTTGTTTCCCACTGCAAAGAAACCAGTGAAATATAGAAAGCAGGAAGGAGTGGTGGCTAATACCCGCATCCTGTGGAGGTACTTCAAAAAGTTCTCACCCAGAAACAAGAGGCGTGACTCCCACTTGGAGGCACGACTGTAGAAGAGAAAACCGTACGTCACTGTTTACAGAAAGTCAAATCATTTCTCTGCGAGGAGAAGAAAGCTTCAAGCTGGAGCTCTGTTGCTTCAGGACAATTTTCTTTCAGACATCAATACAAATAAATGTCTGTTTGTAACCAGGAGATTTGCTCCTTCTGGCCTTTAGAAAGAATGCAGATGTGGAGCGCTGCTGCGTTAGCTCCACTTCCCAGCACCAGAGGCTACATCCATCTTTAATAAGCAATCGGTGGTGAAAACAGAGAATGTATCCTAGGAATTCTGAGATGTTCTTTGCCTCTCTGGTTCTCCTATTGGCACAACATCACTTCACTCTGAAACGTGTCTAGCTGTCAGATCATTCATCCGGTTGTTTTGGATAAGGTTTGGTTAAAGAGGTCAAAGGCAGACTGTGGTTGTGGTTCAACCCAAAATTGAGCGTCAGTGGAGTTTTGGAAGCAAACAGCGGTCTCTGTTGTTGTGAGCTTTGTTGATCCATGCATCCGCCACAACCTCCTCCCTGCAGCCTCCTGACCGACACCAGGCGTAATCAGCCACTAGAGGTCGCTCGTCGGCAAAATAGAGAGTAGTTATGTGTTCTGATGAGGACCATCTCACTTCTCTGGTGCTGCAGAGAAACAGTAGATAAAGAGAGAGAGAGGGAGACCTGAAGTGACAGCACTGATGCAGAAAAGGAGGTGAGAAAAAAAAAAAACCAAACAGGAGGAGGAATGCAGATCAGTAGCAGATGGCTTGACATGGAAACAAAGAAAAGATGAGACGGAGTGTGTACGCGTTCTCACATCTATTCGTGTTGCCTCGGGTTGCTGTGCTGAATGTTGTCAAAACTACCAGACGCACACGCAATTAAGTGTGTTCTCTCTGTAAAACACACACACATGAAATAACGTATACACACAAGCAAACACACGTGCCTTCTCCTCTGGCTGGTTGTTGACCTTTTCTCAGGATCGAAATATCCGAACGCTCACACCTCGACTCACACACACCCCGAAGCACTGCACTGGCTGATGTGCAGGGTTTAGCAAATGTGGAATTTAATCTCTTGTTTTCCACACATGCAACTCACACACACACACATGAACACGCTAATGAACATGTTGACCACTGTTTGTGTTGCACTAGTCGTGCAGGTGGAACATTTGCAGAGTCCGGTTCAGGTGAAGACGGACCAGGCTTGCAGGAACATCTTAATTGTTTTTATTTTTCATCAACTTGTCTAAACCAGGACTGCTCTCCTGTAATGCTCTTCTCAGTTAAGTGCATGTTGAATCATGCATGGGCTTAATATAATGAGCAACTGTTGTTATTGGTACATAAATACATCACTGAAGGAGCGATAGAGGGACGCACAGCGCTGACAGTATGTGTGCAGTTCAGGTGGTACCGATCAGAGGGTTAACCAGCTCGTTAGGCAGCACCCAACCTGAAGGAGGAATTATTTTACATGATCAGAGTAACGACTAAACTGTTAAATTAATATCTGCTGACAGCAGTGGTGTGTTTTAACTGCACATTTGCTAAACTACAGTTTTCCACAAATCTGTAAATACACATAAATACACGCCCGTCTTCATACGTTTTAGCGCGTATTAACTTTTTCCCTTTGCGTCTCCGACAGAGGTGTGTGAGGTGGACTGTGGGAGTCACGGTGTGTGTTACGGCGGCGTGTGTCGCTGCGAGGAGGGCTGGACGGGAACCTTGTGCGACCAGAAAGCCTGCCACCCGCTGTGCAGCAAGAACGGAGTGTGCAAGGAGGGCAAGTGTGAGTGTGACCAGGGATGGACGGGGGAGCACTGCAATATCGGTGAGTGGGTCGCACNGCAGCAAGAACGGAGTGTGCAAGGAGGGCAAGTGTGAGTGTGACCAGGGATGGACGGGGGAGCACTGCAATATCGGTGAGTGGGTCGCACGCACACACACACACACACACACACACACACACACACACACACACACACACGCACAGAGCAAAGGAAATGGTGGAAAGAGGAGTGTGAGACAGACATGTACACGGAAAATGGTGTTTGTGCAAAACAGTGAGAGGAGAGCATTTTGGTGAAGTTGCGTTGACAAACCCTAACTCTAACACCATACCTGCACTCACACGGTTTAGAAAATCTTCAGGAGCTTTAACTGGACCCACGCAGCACCTTCAGGAAACCCAGACAAAACCTGGGCATTGGTGAGCTTTTCTTCGAGCTGCCGGTGTGAGATTAGAGGAAAACGATGCTCCTAATTATGTTGATGTCCGTGTTTGTTACGGCTGTTGCTACCGTGCAGTAAAACTGGAGCTACAAAAGTGCCACTGAAGCTGTTAAAAGTAGAATCAATAAGGGTTGGCCGGCATGCTGAGAAATGCTATCGTTAACTTTGTTTTATGCATCCATGCCGGCAGCAGCCTTAGGCCATAAACGTTTTATAAAATATGGACACTGTAACCTGAGGAACATACGTGTGGTGGTGACCTGTCAGTGACGAGGTATCCCCACCTGAAGCATATCCTGGTTTACTGTCTGTTCAGAATGTTATTTAAAAATGAGCGCCATGCTGTGGCCATGTCTGTCTCACATGTACAGTATTTGCCAGAGACATTATTGTGTTGGGTTGTCCATTTGTATGATGTCATGGATCGCGAAGTTATGGACGCCAGTGACAGGTATTAAATCAACAAAAATCAACGCTGACTGTCATCGAAAAATCCAAAGAGGCAACAGAAGCACGGCATAAACGGAAACAAGAAATAAAGACACACAAAAAACTAAAAGTACAAACCGGAGGCAGGTGAACACGAGGAGGAGACGAGAAGAAAACAAGACGAAAGGAGGAAAAAAGAACAGAAGTAACGACATGAGCAACACACAAAGAAAGGAGATTTCAAATAAAACAGGAAGTAACTGAAAAGAGATATTAAACCTACATATATGAATCATGAAAACAAAACCAGAACCCAGAGCCCCAGTCCACTGGCGACCCAATGCTTCGAGTGCAGCAGCGATGAAGAACCCTGATGAGTGCTTGTTGATCAGAGGTCAGGGTCGGTGTGACCTCACCGTGCCTGTTAGCAAACCTTCTTCTCATTTGTTAGACTCTGACAGTGCTGCTGTGCGTCATGACTGGTGCTCCTGAAACATCAGATTTAAAACTCTGGTTGACTCCTGCTTGAAAGTCATGGACATGAAGGTATATGTGTACTTCAGCTTCACGACATGCGGCGCTAGAACATGTTTGACCAGCAGTCACAAAAACGAGAAAACATAAATCATTTAGAAACCTTTAAAAACAAAAAGACTTAAAAGACTTGAGATTATGTTATTTTGTTGTCAGAAACCAAACTAAAACAACTAAATAGGCCTTTTTCACACATAATAAAAACACCTTCATATCTCCTTCGGCCTCCTTCGGCCTCCTTTGGCCTCCTTCGGCCTCCTTCGGCCTCCTTTGGCCTCCTTCGGCCTCGGTAGCAGCTCGTGTTGCTGCTGGCTGGGTTGTTATGAACTCTTCAACAGTCTCTGTCGATACTGAGCTCCAGATAGTTTCTAGATGTTTCCACAGACTCGCTTTAGATGAAACCTCTTTGCGATCCATCTGTGAATGTACTACATCCCAACTTGTTCAATAGGATTCAAATCTAGACCTTGACTGGGCCGATCCATCAGTTCCAGAACTCCAGATTCCTTCTTCTGGGTCAGATGGTCTCTGCACAGCTCTGAAGTTCTGCTGGGCTCGTTGTCTGGTTGGTGTATGAACCCATGACCAGTCAGGTTCAGTCCAGAAGGGATCCATGATGCACTAAGGTGTTGTGATGACGTTCTGGTTCATGATATCGTCGATTTTCACTTCAACTTGCCCGCGCTGATTTCACATATAGAACCCCACACCATGATGGAACCTCCAGCCTGTTCCACTGTGGCTGCATCTGGCATCAAAACGTTCTCCAGGACCTCAGAGGACCTTCTTCCAGTCATCAGCAGTCCAGTGTTTGTGCTCTCTGGCACATCTGAGGCGTTTCTGGATGTCTGCAGGCCTCACTGAGGCTTCTCAGCAGCTCTTCTTCCCTCTAAGCCTTGTTCCATCATTCTGGAGACTTTGTCAGACTCTGGTCTAGGAGCATTCATCTCTGCCTGAAGACCAGCAGTGGTCTCCCTTCTGTCTCTAGGACGTAAAATCTTGAGGTGCTTCAGTTAACTTTCCTGCCTCTTCCTTGGAGCATTTTATAAGAACCAGTCCCAGCAAGTGACTCTCAGAGACCATCCAGCATCATGAAGAGCTTTAATGTGACTCTTTCATTTCCAGTGAGCTCTCAAGGTTTCACCGTTTTGAACAGGAACGAGGAATTTCAAACTGAATTCACCTTTTATACCCAAACCTGGACTTCTCTGAGAAGTCAGACAGGAATCAAGCGTCACATTCAACCACTAAAACTATTTTTTTCTCTTCAGGGATGCAAGTAAATAACTATAATCTGACATCTTAATCAAGAAATAATTACACGCTTTCCTATTTTTTTCTTCTTTGTTTTTGTAAAACAGTAAATTTGAAAATCCATGGATAACAATTTTAATTATATTTTACCATTAAAATGATCATTTTGCTTAAAGAGCTTCTACCTATTGGTGTATTGACCGTTACAGAACCAGAATGATCACCAATGCTGCTAATTTAGGGCAGCTGTGGTATAAACCTCACACTGGGTGGTGGTCTAATACATTTCTTAAGCTCTGTATATTATACGTGTCTGCAGTTGTTTGTCTGAGGCTCAGAGCTGTGAGGCGGTAATTGTAGGTATTACCTCAGTCCAGCTATTAGTGCTGCGACCAGCTCCACTCTATCTGCTCATTTCTGTGCATTATCACTCCTGGAAGGCTTATTTTCTTAAAGATCAATACGCAGCATTGTGCAAAACTTTTATGGACAAATGAGCATCTGCCTGGACGTCTGGACGTCGACAGGCTGCAACTAAAAGCTGCAAAATTATCTGATAAGTCTCACCTTGCACAGGTGTTCAGGAATGTCAAAGCACTTCTGCAGAAGTCACGTATTGGAGCGTCCATGTTGCGTTGTGGTGGTTAAACAGAGGAACCGATTAGTCGTCGGGTGGCTCTGTGGCTGCTGCAGCCCTTCACTTAAAAAGCTATTTGTTGTCAAACAGACAGGCAGCTACAGTATCGCTGGGAAGGAGCTCCAAATTGGCTTCAGTTATTGTCACTTAGAAACACACACACACACACATGGACGGGGAAGACGCTGAGAACATAACAGTGAGATGAGGAGAAATCCATTTCCAACGCTTAGCCAACAAACAGCCTGTTTGCAGAGACGGATTGTGCGGCTGAGGAAAGGATTCGTCTGAGCTTCTTCTACCATCACGTGTCGGTGGCTGGAAGCTGCGACCGCACCGAGACGTGTTTCATTAATTAGCCGTGTTTAGATATCAGTGTGGAGATAGCCCAGCCTGCATCAGTCTGGTGGTTAACAGGAAAATACATGTGAACGCCTTCAGCTTGATTTTGGAGCCTGAAAACTCGGCGCTCTTCATTCTCCAGTGAATGAGGTTATCAATTACACAGCTCTGCTCTTTTTCAGCCTTTCTTTCCCTTTTCTCTGTTTGACTGAACCTCTTTGTGTCTAATTTAATTTGAGCTCTTTTTGCTGCCGCTGCCTGTTTCCTGGACTAAATGCCATCTCTCTATCTACCTTTCTCTTCTTCTTTTTCTCCCTCTTCCTTCTCAAAGCTCACAATCCGGACATTAGAGTAAAAGGTACTGTACTCTTTTTCTCCTCTTCTCCTCATCACTCGCTTTTTCTCTTCCCCTCATCCTTTTGTGAGCCGTGAAGCTGTGGCTGATAGGTTGTTTGATTTATTTATTGGTTATTTATTTAAATTTCTCTCGCCACCGCTGTCGTTTCACCTGCTCTGATGACGTTTCAGGATTTTAATAATGTCCTCAGTAAAAATGTACAAAGGCTTCATTTTCCTTTTCCTACCAGGTTTGGCTGTTTTCAGGTGTAATAGAATTAAAACCAGAGCACAATTAAAGTTTTAGCGTACAGCGCTTGTTGGTTTCTCAGAACAAGCTGCTCTTGTTTTTTGGGTTTGAATGTCTTGTCTAGAATTTCATTTTCCAGCCAACCCTGACCGTCGTAGCAGTAGATCCATCAAAAGCTGCAAAACATTCGGCATAAATAACATTTTGCATTTGAAGGTTCTTGTCCAGCTGTTAGCGTCGCCGCAGTAAACATCTACGAGCAGGGCAGTGATCTTGGTTGTCAAGTGGAATCACAGAAAGCAGGAAAATTTAGCAAAAACAGGACAAATAGCTACAAAAAATATTGGTTTTGCAACTCACTGAACTGTCTTTGTTGATTGATTTTGACGTTGTAATATTTGACATTCTCGATTGCTTTTAAAAATGCAATCAACATATTTTTATTTTGAGCAAACAAGACGAACATCACGTCGAACGTCTCCGATGTCGATGCTTAAATCCAGCCTTCGCCTTCTTGTGACGTCTTACTGGATAAACACCTGCACTGGTCTAAATGGTTCAGCTGCTGTGAGCTGACTCACACGGTCGGGACATTCGTTTAATTACGAGCACAAGGATGAAACGCTCGTCACACCGTGATAGTGTTAAAATCATTTTAGGTGATTTTAAGCCTCCTTCTGTGCAGCTGGGTGATGTTCTAGAAATGGAGCGTAATTATGCGGCACAGAGACAAAAAATGATTCTGGATCTTCTCGGCCTTTGTTATTAACTAAGTGCAGTTGGTCGATACCTTTCTAAAGAGCTTTTTTATAAATTG